AAACAAGGTTATCAGGTGTTAAAGCTCTGCTTTCCATGGAAGGTAAGTGTCTACATGGATGTTAAGAGAGAACAAACACAAAGAAACTCAAGTACTGTCATGAGGGTGGATAAAACCTAAGTGTGCCAAAGGAACCAGGTAAGTCCTTTCCTCATTACCCGTAGGCACTTGAAAAATTCTTTCCTATCTCTGGAGATCTCTTCTCAGGTGCTGAAGTGGCTTTATGGATCTGGCCTTTCAACTTTCTCCAACTCAGTTCCCTGTCTGCACAGCAGAGACATCAGTGCCCAGGGGCTGGGGAACTGCGGGGTGCTTTGGTTGTAGCTGAATTGTGCTGAAGCGGCTGAGAATCTGCACCACTGAGGATGCAGAGGACAAAGTGAGCTCCCATTGCACCCCACTGGTGTGGGCAGCTAAGCAGAGGCATTGTATTCAGCTAACAAGCCCTATTTGTGAGCCACAAAGCGGCAGGGATGGTGCAGAGCTGTGGAGAACCACTGAGTTATGCTGAGTTAGAGACTGTGTTAACAATCTCTAAAATTATCGTCTCCCAAGGGAGAAAACTGAGTCCTTCCTTACCAGTTCCAGTACAGGGACTCACCAGTGAGCCCTTAAGTGGATCGAGGACAGGCACAGTCATCAGAACTACTCTGCAGCATTTTCCTGTGGTATCACAAGTGCCTCTGCAATACCCAGGAGAGACACTACTTCTCAATTAAACTCACACCAATTCAGTTCTATCAGACAGGACAAACTTCAAGAGCTGTATTCATTAAACACTATCCCAAATCTCTGTACTTAAGGACACAGAAGATTCTCTCATCACTTGAAGTCACTGAAGCAAGATGTTTGTTTCTAAAAGAGATGTTCTGACACACAATACTGAGTCCTGAGGCAAGAATTACTTGATGAAATTCTATGACTTCAATAGAAATATTGGGATAGGCACTAGTTTCCCAGGGGAAGTACCCAGGTATCCTCTTAATACAATCCCCAACCACTCTGCCCAGACCCAGCCAGTTAGTTCTGTGTTGGTTTACAGATGGTGGAAGGACAGAGGAGAGCCCAGGGGCCTTGCAGGTGACGAGATGACAGGGGAAATCCATGCCAGTCCATTTTGTGGCTCCGGGGGCTCATGCCGAGAAACCCCCAGCCATGCAATTAGCCAAGGAGGGAGCCACACTACACTCACACCTGAGGAACATCCATCCACCCAACCCACGGCTTGGCGTACCATCACATAGGAGCAGGAGAGAGTAGGGGATAATGGACAGGGCCCAGCCCCAGAAGCAGGGGAGGGTACAGTGTCTAATGCAAGAGTCCACAAAGACCCATGGACTCCGACAGGGAGAAGCAGCCTGTCAGCAGGACTGGCAACAGCTACGGGCAGAGGAGAAGGAGACAGGGAGATACTAGGTGCCTGGGAAAGCAGAATAGTGGCATACGCTGTCCTCAAAAGAGGGGAAAGCCCAGAATGTTTAGGAGAAAGTGTCAGAAAGTTATTTTAGTGGTAAAAAGAGGAGACAGGTACATTTGCAAGTCACTGGTGGGCAAGATAAAGGTTGTTGTCCATTACTGTTGGACAACCAGCCATGTACTGAAGGGGTGACATGCTGTGGTTGCTTGGTATCCACTACTTTCTCACAGCTAGACACTTCCCAGCCTTCAGCTGAAACAATTCTCATTAAGATGGGCTTGATGAGGTACCCATTTCCAGCTCTCCTGAATCCATGCCTCCTTCCCTTGGGGTCAAAGATGACTTTCCACACTGGACACAAAGCCCTTTCACTCTCCTTCCTGTATACAGGGCGGATAGTGCTCCTGCCCAGAGTAGGCAACTGGGATAATCCCAGTCACCTAAGTCTATGTAAAACTAGCTGTCATAGCTCTCTCCACGCTTTGAAGTGCCAGAGGGTCTGAAGAAGCAAAGCTTAGAGCAGGGCCTTGGAAATCTCCCTGGAGATGCTGTTAATAAGAGGGTAGTTAGGGCCTTCAAGGAATTCTTGGGAAATCTGAAAGAATTAATACATTTTGTGGGAAAAGAAAAAAAAAATAATCCAAGTCTGGTGCAGGAGTTGAAAAAAAAAAACCCAGTGGGTAAAAGCTGCATAGATCAGCCAAGTGTCAAGTGAACCCACTATAAATTAGAGGCTCCTTAGGGAATGAGCCATTAAAGCTGTGACTGTGCCCTTTTTATCCAGTGCAAGAGGGGATGGTCTAGCACACTGCATTTTAGCTTGACAAGGGAAAAACACCTAGTCCAGCTAGAAAAACGAGGAGGCTTTGGTGAGCTGGAACATCTCTTTCCACAGTGGCATTTAGTCAGGTCTGCTTTTTCAAGAGAGCTCAGAGGGAACCCTTACAGCCACTTGCAGGAAGCCAGGCAAGGAGCAAAGACCTTTCATCATCTGTTCCTCAGTCCCCCCAGCTCCACCCCACAAGACATTTTCCAGACTTTCCAGTCAGCCCTGAGATGTTGACTGGTGCACCAGCTTCATCAGCTCTATGGCATGATCTCGCTGCATTCCCTCCCACCTTCAATGAGATAAGAGAGTCGGGAATGTTGTTCACACAATGGGTGTTACTACTCAACTCTGGAAACCAAAAGCAAACATCAGGACATGTGCTGCCAGTCCCAAAGGAGGCATGGGATGACTTCTCTATGGAAGCAAAACCATTTTTCCTGGTGAACCATCAACTCTGAAAAGAGCTCCTTTCAGGGTTGTTCTGAGGACAAAGGAAGGAGGCTTAAACAGGGAGGGATCAGAGAAGGGAGCACTCGACAGGGAGTTGCACTAACTCAGGTAATTTGAATGCTTCTGATTATCAGAGATGATTCACTTCTGTTCACTTTGCACCAAGTATTGTGAAAGACATTGCATTTATCTGCATTGACTCACTGTTTCACAACATGAGCTTAAGGTATTGTTACTACTATGATGACGGGAAGGCTTGGACATCCAAAATCCTGACACCAGCAGGGAAAGACTGCAAAAGATTTTGGTAAATCCAGACGAACCAGGAAATGTGATAAAAAAAAACCTCAACTCTCTCCTCCTCTATTAAAGAGATGGTGTGAAAACCCTGAAAATAAAACCACAGATGTTCTGAGACAACTGTCTGTCAAGAAGTCAAGAGGATATTTCCGTCTCTAGAAAAATTGCTTTGATTTTTATCACCACAAGCTGAGTTTTGCTTGGAGAGAATCAGACTTACAAGGAACATATTGTTATTCATTAGTATATGGAGGCACTTTAAATAAGTGGACAATTGGACACTTATGGACAATTCTCAATCTCATACATCCTTGTTAGACGAAACACCTGGAGTTAAAAATCACAAAAAGTCAAAGTTTATGGCAGGGACTATTTGTATCAGCTGACCTAAAATTACAGGAATGAACTCATCGAATTTGAGATGGAAAGTAGAAGTTAATGGCTGAATTAAGGACAGCTCTTAAGAAGTCACTGGAATGAAGGAAAGACAACACAGTTCTCTGTATGTTTGTTACGGTGTTACTTATCAGGTACAATTAACATGCTCTGAAATAATGGGTCTCGCTGCTCAACCAGAACTGGTATTTACTGTCACTACTGTCAGAAGTGCCCAACACCCATAGAAGAGACAGGATTTCTAAAGCATTGGCTTCCATTCAAACATCTAAATTAATACCCCTACTTACAGGAAAACTGATTGCATTGGACACTGTCTGAAAGAACTTCTTAGCTAAAATAAGTATTTATTTGCCAAAGGAGCCACATTTATGAAAAATGAAGAGGGAGTGCTGTGGGAGTAAGGGATATCACTTTCCTCGATGAAGTGTTATTCCTCAGACTTCTCCCCAGCCCTTGCCCTCCTCCCACCGCGGCGATACACAACTGTCTTCTCGGTCAGGGAGAACATTCCCTCTCCAAGGTCCTAAATCACAAGGTGAAAAGCCTACAACTGTTACCCAATAACTGCAAAGTGGTAGCACCTAAGTAAATGCAGCTTATGTAAGACTCTATACATACAGATATGCACCAGGAACAGATCTTGGGAAATACAATATGGTCCCCGGTAGGCAAAGAGGACAGAAAGGAAACAAGCACAGAAAAGAGGACAACTTGACTAAGATCTCCAAGGCTCTCAGCAGTGGAGCTGGGGAGGGATGCCAGCGCTGCCAAATCCCTATATAGCACCCTACTTCTCTAGAACAGTGTTCATCACACTTTGCATTCTGTTGTGGACAAATGGCACGTCCCTAAATTAAATGCCAGTGGGGAGCAACGCATTGATTGTCCTATTAACTGAGTATCAGTGCAAGGTTGCTAAACAGGAGGTTAGAGATATGCATCAGACCCTGCTGAATGAAACACAAAAAGATACAAGCACAATCACATGCTTATTGCTGTAAAGAGCTGAACTCTGTAATTATCATCTGCGGGGAAGTGTCTCAAAGAGAAAACAAGAAAGGAAATTGCAATGTGTCTATTTATTTCCATAGCTACTGTATGACCGAGAGCGACTCAGCAGCCTCTGCTATTTGTAGGAGGGTTTCCCAATGAAACATACCAAAGGCACAGGAAAAGAGCCTGTGTATTGTTTTCTCAACACACAGCAACAGCCTGACAGGTAGAGTTCCCCACCCCATAAAGCAGAGGGTGTAAAAGCATGCCTTCCTTGGAGATAGTGGGGCATAAATCACAAAGCCAGGCTCAGGGCAGGCAAAGAGAAGACACACGCAAACGATTGGCGACGCAGGAGGAAGATGAAAGCATTATCAATCAGTGCTGCACCACCGCAGGGACAAGGAGAGGTAACGTGCTAGAACAAGCGGACTGGCAAGTGCCTGGCTTGCAGGAATGATCATGACTCTCATGCTATCCATTTCCCAGGTCTGCTAGCCACGGGGGCTCAGGGTACACCAGACACCTGTGGCCTAAGAGCTGTTCATATCAACGGCTCTTGTGTTATCACACAGTCCTTAATAATGGAAAGTCACAACAGTCCAAACTTACCAGTCTCTCAACCCTCTCGCTCAGGTCTCTAAACCTTCCTGAGGACTGCCTGGACAATTCATTATTGTATCGGATGTTGGTGATTTTTATGTTGCTGCTGTAATAGAACAGCTTCTGATCTGTAAAGGAAAGAAGAGGAACAGGCAATATTCAAAGCACCAAGATGAACAAACTTCAGAGAAACACCTGGGGCTGACTGATATCCAGATATCTAGAAGTGGATGAGCCTTCACCTATAAAGAATCCATTCAAATACAGCTTCCAAAAGCTAGAGGCCAGGAGAACTCAGTTGAGTTAAGTGATCTAAGCCAAGCAGTGACAAAAAAGCCCATTTTCCCCAACAGTGACATTTGTGGCCAACCACAGTGCTTTGGGCTTGCACAGCATCACAAGCTGCATCTTGCTGGTCAGCTACCTTCCTTCCTGGCCTGTATGCCCACTCAACACCAAGCCCTGGCTGCTGGTGACCAGGGCAAGGCAACAGAGAAACACCACAGGTAGAGACAAGCGGAAGGCTCTGTGTGTCACTCCCATAAGGGAGACCAGAAGACTTGTGTGTGAATCTCACCACAGAAGTCAATCATGAGGAAGATGTGAAAGGAGTGAAAGCAAGCGAAAGCCAACAGAAGCTACAGCCCTAAACTACCCTGCACAGCAGGAAATGTTCCTAAGACATCTGCAAAGATGCTAAATGAGAAAGGAAAAAGAGCTCTAGAGACCCAAATAAGCTTTAGACAGGCTGGTGAAAAATGAAATCCCAGTGTTGCGTGGCACAACAAGCACAAAAGAAACGCACTAATTACAGGAACAGTCATGTGTTATGTAAAACTTACCATATGCCAGAAAATAAACTAGGAGACCAATGGTGATAACTGCTGCCACTGCTGTTCCAATAACAATTAAAGCAATTTTCCAGGGCTCAAGATGTCTTATTTTGATGGCTGGCTGATGAATTCTGGGGGGGAAATAAGAACAAAGGGAAAAGATTAATAAGAGATCCTTTTGTATTTAAATTCCCCAAAAAACACAGCTAAAGTTTTCTCCCTCAACATCAGCTGATTCTTCCCAGCAGTATTAGTTGACTTCTCACCCAACACCCTTGAAAATGAAACCATGACTCAAGATTATTTTAACATATATGTTGGGATATGCTAGAAGTCATGGAACACAGAGGGGGTTTTGTTGTTTGGGGGTTTTTTTTGTTATTATTATTAGGGCCAAATTAAATAGGAGTCCAACTAAGCACTTTCTTATGTGACTCCTGACTGGAAATTTGCAAGAACAGAACTAATTTTTCAGCTAGGTGAACTTTCATACAGCAATGTAGGCAGCTTTCAATTGGTTAGACAAATCAGTTATCACAGACACACTGGCACCTTCGCTCCCAAAACTGCTTTGTGTAATAAAATTGGTAAAAAGCAGCCCATGCTTTGTATAATACATATCCACACATATCCAAGCTGCTCAGTCCGTTTCAGCCTGCAAAGCAAGGCTGGACAAAAAAAAAGAGATTTCAGAAGGGCAGCCTGTGTTTTACTCAGACTAAACCTAAAAGCAAAAGGCAAGCACTGCTCTAAACAGTATTTGCTAAAGTGATGGAATGACAGGAAAGGGCAGGGACATGAAAGAGGACTGGGGAACATAGGTAGGAAGCCTCACCAGGTACTTTTCTCTGCCACACTCTTAATTACACAGGTGCTAATCCAAATTAACTCAAGTAAAGTCAACAGACAGTAGGTCAGTATTATAGTCAGACAAAAAACTGCCTGAAAAAGGTTACTTACAGCAAATTGTACCTTTGGCTATAAACTCAAAGGCATCTAAAGATCCTTAAAGCCATTTTTCTATGATGTTATCAGCCATTACAAAATACAGAACAGGAAGCCACAATTTTTGGCAGAGTCCTTCATTCTAGAGCCAATTACCTCGCTCACCCAAACGTGCACACCTTCAGGTTAAGGTACAGCCTCCCCGAGGAAAGCAGGCTGCAGGGATCCTCTCCTGAGGGTATGAGGCATCTCAGTGAGTGCTCACATTCATAACCAAGCACATATAGCTCACTTCTGAAACACATACCTCATGAGCCATAAGTTTAAATACATTGAAATAAGTCGAAAATAATTGCAAGCAACCACTGCAGTTGCCTGCAGGAATGAGACAGCAAGCACATGCACATAAGCATTTAAGTAGCTTCTGATATTTCATTCTAATTTCATTGTAAAGCCTTACAATGACAGCCTTATTACTTCGGCTTGGAAAACAGCTTACTCAGGCTAAATATCATGACATTTGATTAACTGAAAATGAGAATACTCATTTGTCACTCATATGTGTTCTGACTTGTCCTGGATCTCTTAGCTAGTGTTTGGTTCGCTCTTGCTATCCTCTAAAGCAGCTATTAACCTCTCATGTCATCTGGTTTGCTTCGAAATGCATCCCTGAATCCATAGCAAATAAAAAACAAAAAACAAACAAACAAAAAAAACCACCCCAGAAAACACCCCACAAAAAAAAATTAAAATCCAGACGTTAAACAGTCGTGATAAGAGTATGGAGATGAGCAGCTCCAAAGTAATTTCTGAGACTACTGCATGAAAGTTGCCTTAAAACTGTAACTGGAGAAATGAAATGAAAAATACGCAGGTATAAATAGTCAGGACTCTACCTCATTAAGAAGAATATTTCTAAATAGTAGCTGTTAGGTGTATCCATAAAGTCAGTCGCAAGTTCAGCTTTAATTTGTCATGTGGGTTTGTTGGTTTGTTTGGGTTTTTTTTCTGCCATTCCAGCTAGTAATCCAGCCTGGTTTATATGCTTTGCAAACGTTTCAACTATGTTTGAAGTGAGACTAAGTTACAAGAAAAGTCAACAAACCAAACAAAAAAAAATAATCACATTTAACTTAACATAACCTACTCACGTTCATTCTTGTAGATACTCTCATTTAAAAAGCAGTTCTCTTGATTAAGCTGTATGGAAGCAAAAACACTCAGATGGTCTTCCACCTATAACGATCCTGGCATAGCCCCAAACCAAAATCCTGGATTTGAGAAGCACGTTTGAAAGACAGAATGCCTCCTCTACACTGCAGCAGGTGAGCATGAAGAAATCCCTGCTTGTCATACCAGTGAAAGAGGGGTTCAGACAAGAAGTAACACAGCTGGGACACAGTTAAATGTTGACTACTATGTAATTTGAAACCTTTTCAGCATTCTTTTGTACATAGTATAACATTCTTTAACTCTTATTCTTTATTTCTTGCCTTTCAAGTTTCATGTTATTTAGCAAACGGGAACCCCAGCCCACAACAGTTACTCACATGTGTAATTTTACTCACACACGTGACTTTCACTTAATGCATGAAACCTGTTTGAGGGCATAAGAGGTGCAGAGGGGACTCAGCATCAGCCTCTAAACTGAATTTCCTCAGATAAGAAGCTGTTTGATAAATAGTTCTTAGAAAGTCACTTAATGAGGAGGGAGGGGGCTGTTTTGGGACCCAGGATGTCTTTTTTCCCCTCCTTTTTTTCCTGAATAAACTTTCCCTCTTCCTTTTAAATAACAACATGAAACAACTGTTAAGGTTTACTCTCTGCTCCTGATTTGTTTTAAAAACAAAAATTGATTTCAAAAATACAAGGTATTTTGAATAAAACGTCCTTGGTTAGGCTGTACCATCCGGATACTTCCCCATCTGAATAGAAGTGCAGACTGAGCACACCAGCAAGATTTCAAACCCAGGTTTTCAAAGATATCTGTGAGACAAAACCACAAAGATTGCTGAGCTG